AGAAGCAGTCCACCTCTCCTTTTGCCTAGTCTGTTTTAGTCTGGAAGCTCAGCTGAAACCTGTCTACTGTGGGTGACCCAGCTGGGATTTAAAACACAGGTGGTACAGCGTCCAGCACCACAGCAACACACAAGTCACAAACAGTACAACTGACAGACGTTCGGTGGTGTGTGGATCTATATGTGCATGTGTGTATGTAGAGCAAATATTTTTGTTTTTTCCCTTCCTTATCCCATTATTTATTAAATACAAGATGCCAATGGGGCTAATGTGTTTTCAGCTGCATCATGTTAGGCTTATGTGCAGTTCCTCGCCGTCTGTATTTAGACACTGTGTATGGTTAAGGAGATGCATACAGGAGCCAAGGTGACAGGGGTGGGCTGTGATGGTGATGTGACGTGTCAGCACGGCTGGGCCGTGGTCCTCAGCATGTGTAATGCTCCGCTATCCTCTGATCTGATAGGAGGAGGGCTTTCTTGGGGGTGTGGTCTGCATCCAATATACACAGATGTCTGGCCAAGTCCTCTCTCTAGATCCTGCATCAGAGTTGTCATCAGTTGACCTCTGGTTTTTGGGAAGTGAGCCTGCAGCCTGCCATCTGCCCTCCCGGTTTTGGGTTCGTCAGCCCTCATAACCTTGTGAGTCAGGAGATGCTTGATTGGGAGCCTACCAGATGCCTTAACCGCATGAGCCATTTCCCTGAATTCAATCTCTGCATTTACTGTTGTTGTTGGAAGCCGCGGAGTTGGTTTCAATGCACAGTGACCTTGTGCCCAACAACACAAAACACTGCCGCTTCCTACATCAGCCTCACAGTCACTGTGATTGGGCCCACTGTGGCCACCACTGTGACAAGCCATCTTGTAGGGGGGTCTTCCTCTTGTACACTGACCCTCCATTTTAGCAAGCATGATGTCCTTCTCTCCAGGGACTGGTCTCTCAGGACCACATGTCCAAAGAACAAGATGCCAAGTCTCACCATCCTTGCCTGTAAGGAACATTCTGGATGTACTGCTTCTAAAACAGACTTGTTTGCTCTGGCAGCCCATGGTACTTTCAAGATTCTTTGAAAACATCATAATTCAAAGGCATGGAAGCTTGTACAGTCTTCCTTATTCACTGTTCAACTTTCACATGTGTATGAGGCAACTGAAAATACCATGGCTTGGGTCAAGCACACCTTAGTCCTCAAATTGACATTTTTGCTCTTCAACACTTTAAAGAAATCTTCTGCAGCAGATTTCACTAATGCAATAAGCTTCCATGAGTGATAATTGTGAATTCAAGCAAAATGAACTCTCTGACAAATTCAATCTTTTCTCCACTTATCATGATGTTATTTATTCGATTTATTCGTTCAGTGGTAAGGATTTCTGTTTTGTTTACACGGAGGTGCAATTAATACTGAAGGCGGTGGTCTTTGATCTTCATCAGTACTTCAAGTCCTCTTTGCTTCATATCGCAAGTTGTTAATAAGTGTTCCTCCAATCTGGGCGCCATGTTTTTCTTTATATACTCTAGCTTCTTGGAATATTTGCTCAGCATATGTATTAAATAGGTATGGTGAAAGGATCCAACTCTGGTGCACACCTTTCCTGATTTCAAATCCACCAGCTGGTCCTCGAAAACCCACACAGGGTCACCATGAGTCAGAACCAACTCAACAACAACAGGGTCTTCTGTTCGAATAACTGCCTTTTGGTCTATGGGACAGGTCTCTCATGAGCACAGTGAAATGTTCTCGAATTTGCATGCTTCATGTTACCCCCAGTTTGTTATGATTCACATAGTTGAATGCCTTTGTATAGTCAATCAAGCACAAGTTAACATTTTTCTAAGGAGCCCTGCAGCGTAGTGGGTTAGATGCTGAGCTGCTAACTGCAAGGTCAGCAGATTAAATCCATCAGTCACTTCACAGGTATAAGATGAGGCTTTCTGCTCCTGTAAAAATTTACACTCTCAGAAACTCTTGGAATTGACTCGACGGCCCATAATAGCAGCAGCAGCAAACATCGTTCTGGCATTCTCTGCTTTTAACCAAAATCCATCTGACATCAGCAATGATCTCCCTAGTTGCACGTCCATTTCTGTATGCTGCAACCATTTTTAAACTGTTTTCAGCAAAGCTTTACTTGCGTGTGATATTAAGGATATTGTTCAATGACTTCCTCCTTCCACGGGGTCACCGTTCTTTGGGATGGGCACAGATATGGCTCTCTTCTCATTGGTTGGCCAGATGAGTGCCTCCCATGCTGCATCAGTTTGTTGAAACATTTCAGTTTGTATTTCGTCAATTCCTGGAGCCTTGGTTTTCACCAACGCCTTCAGTGCAGGCTGGATTTCTTCCTTGAATACCATGGGTTCTTGATCAAATAAATGCTACCTCTTGAAATGGCTGCACATAGACCAATTATCTTTGATACAGCAGCTCATTTTGATACTTTCTGTATCAATCAACGCAACTTGAGGCATAAATGTTTTCTTCAGTTCTTTTTAGATAGAGAAAAGCTGACAATGTTCTTCCCTTTGGGTTTTTTAACTCTTAAGTTTCTGCACATTTCATTACACTTTATTCAATTACTGTCCTTTGAAATTTTCTGTTCAGCTCTTTCACTTTCTCATTTCTTAGAAATGCTTTATCTTCTTTATGCTCAAGAGCAAGTTTCAGGGTCTCTTCTGACCTCCATTTGGGTCTTTTGCTTTCTTCATGGATGGTGTTCTTGATGTCATCCCACAGCTCTTCTGGTCACTGGCCATTAGTGTCTAATGCATCAAACCCGTTTTGAGGTGGGTTCTCAATTCAGGTGGGAGAGACTCAAGGACGTATTCTGGCTCCAGTGGACTTGCTTTAATTTCCTTCGGGCTCAGCCTGAACTTGCATAGGTTCCACAATCAGCCCAGCTGATGATACTGTACATCTTCACTGTTATCTTCCCACAGATGTAGGCAATTTGATCCCTGTGTATTATTACATCTGGTGAGGTCTCCTTTTATATTGTTGAAAAAAGGTATTGGCAATGAATAAGTCATTGGTCTTGCAAAATTTAATCATGTGATCTCCATGGCACTATTTCTATCACCAAGACCATACTTTCCAATTACAGATCCTTCCTCATTGCCCACTTTCACATTCCAATAACCAGTAATTATCAGTGCATTTTAATGGCATGTTTGATCCATTTCCGACTAAAGAAGTGGGCAGAACTCTTTGATTTCATCATCACCGGCTTTAGCGGGTGGTCGCATATAGTTGAGTACCAACAGTATCAACTGTTCTTCCTTGTAGGGTTATCACCCTATCACAGACAGCAAAGTCAAGCTCGAAAGGCTCTTGTGTATGATGGATGTGATGTCATTCCTCTTCAGTGTTTTTGTTCCAGGCATAGTGAACTTAAGTTTGTCTGATTCAAAATGGCCAATACCAGTCCATTTCACCTCACTAATGCCTAGACTATAGATCTCTATGGGTTGCATTTTATTTTTGATGATTTCCAATTTTCCTAGATTCATACTTGATACATCTATCTTCCAATTATTATGCCGCTCTTTCTTCTCATTTTGAGTTGTGCCCAATCACTAAATGACAGTCCCGAAATCTCTTCTCCATTCATATCATTAAATTCAACTCCACTTGGAAGAGGCAGCTCTTCCCCAGTTGTAATTTGAGTGCCCTCCAACCTGAAGGGCTCATCTTCCAACACTACATGCTGATACAAGGTCAGTAATGAACCATTCCGAAGTGGTCTGCCTCTCCTCCTTCCAAGTCTGTCTTAGTTGGCAGCCCTGCTGAAAACTGTCCAACATGAGTGAATACCTACAGCATTTAAAACAGCTCCCAGCAGCCCTGCAACACACAAGCCACCACAGTACAACAAACTGACAGACGAGTGCTGGTCTCTTTCTACAGATACATATATCTAGGAATACACTTCACAGGGGGCTCTGGGAGTTGGAGGGGGCTTTGCTGGGTCTCACACTGAGGCCCACACTGAGCACCATGGGTGGGGGAGGAGGACTGGCAGAAAGGTTACCAGCCAAGCTTGGCACAAGGACAGGCGGCCCCGTAATGCCAGTTCTCAGTGGAGACCTGTATGCGGAGCCGAACGGAACCTGCTGCCCGCCAGGCTGAATGAAACCCAGGTGGCTTCCTTATCTGGGTGGGAGGTCAGTGACAGAGCACTCCCCTGGCCTCTCCTTGGTCATACCAAGGCTGCCCCTGAGGAGGAGGACAGCGGATACAGATGTATGGCTACTCCCTCAGCCATGAGCATACAGAATTAACAGTGTCACATGCTGTCCAGCCCGTGCTCACACCAGGAAAGGAAAATCCATCTCCTTGACTGGAGCAGGGCAGCCGGCAGCAGCAGAGATAAAGTATGCCCGCTAACCTGTCTCGGGTTTCACCTCGGCTACCAGTTCCAACCCCAGGCCAGTTCCGGCCCACCGAGCAGAGTTTGCAAGTATTTGGGGCGCCAGGGGGGGTATAAGCAGAACTCACAGAACCTTCCAGAAGGAGGCTGACTGGATGACTTTGATTAGAGGCAAGGCCCTGGACGCCCACTTCATATTGCCAATAGGTCAAGAAGGACTCAAGAGAGCAGAATTCCCAGAAAGCCTTGGAATGAGTTACTGGCCCTCCTGCTTGCTCTGGGCCCCTTTCTCACTGTGCTCAGTGAGGCGGGTGTGAGTGGCAGGGATGGAGGGGACATGAAAGAGTCTCCCCAAACTGCAAACATCCCCACAAGAATGCCGCCCCCCTCAACTTGTCCAGAGGGGTCCCCCAGATGTCCTTGGCCTCTGCACTATCCCAGTCAGGATGGTGTGGGGCCCTGACATTCACACCCATGACCGAGTACTCCCCAACCAAGGGCTGAGTGGAGCCCCCAGCCCAGAATGGGAAGAGTGGTGGCAATTAGAAATCGGGGATGGAGGAGCCTGGGTGGAGCAGGGAGGAGCCCCGCCCAGCGTCGCCCCACCCCGCCCGGCGCGCGCACACTCACTGGCGTGGACCTGCAGGCAGCACTTGGCGCAGGCGATGAGCAGGCTGGTGCCATCCTCCCCGATGTAGGAGTTGGCGGGCAGCGGCTCAGTGTTCTCGCCACTCGACGTGAAGCACATCTCGGGCACCAGTGGCCGCGTCTTCTGGCCACTTCTGGAGAGTGGCGCAGCGGCCGAGGGCCCTTCCCCGAGTGAGGCCTGGGCTGCCTCCTTCTCAGGCTGCAGGGACTGTGGGGGGAGGAGGTGTCAGTGGTCACCTGGAATGGGACATGGCCCTGCTCCATAACTCCAAGGGCCCCCCTGAGCGGGTGGAGGCACTGGTGGTGCTGAGCAGTCCAACCTCCTCTACTCTGCTGGGACCCTGTCCCTCTCCCCTCCCCCCTCCCCCACAGCCCCACTCAGGCCTCCCAGTGCCCTCAGCTCCTCCGGGGACACTACAGTGGCTCCAGCAGGTTCTGTCCACTCAGTGACATGTCCAGTCAGTGATATGTCCACTCAGTGACCTGTCCAGGCTCACGGCTGGCACAGCTGGACCTGCTGTCCCTCCCTCCTCTTCCCACACCTCAGGCCCGCCCACTCCACACCTTCCCCAGGTTGGGGCTCCCAGGTGTCTTTGTCACTTGGACACTCATTTTGGCGCATCCTCCAACCTCACCCCATGTCCCAATTTCAGGACAGTGTCCTGGAGAGCCCTCTGAACAGAAACTTGAAAGAATGAGCAAAGGGATGAATGAGGGAGGCGATTTCAGTGGTAGCAACTCCCAGTCTGAGGGCGGTGGCCTCAGAGACAGGGCAGCCCTGCCCTTCATACATCGGACGGTGGCTCAGACACATGCAGGCATGCCACAGGACACATCTGGGTCCTGCTGGGGACCTGCAGAAGCAGGGACACTGGAGTAGAGTGGATAGTCAAGTGCCTGACTTGAGGGGATGGGCCCTCTCTACACACCTACATGAGTTTGAACCAGGCTGGGAGAATGGGTAGGGGGGCAGTGAGGGATCACCAGGGGGCAGGAGTGAGTGTACCTCAGTGACCTGTACCCCACATGCCTGCAGGCACAGGGACCACTAACTACCGCTGTCTGTGTTCAGGCCAGCATTCTGGCTGAGGGACAGCGGGCAGGGCGTGGCATGGGCACCAGGGCCACACCCAGGGCTCCTCCCAGACTCCGCAGAGCTGCCGGCGCGGCCCACGTGGAACGCACACTAGCACATCAGCATGTGGTTAAAGTTGGCACTATGGCTCAGCATAGCAGCTGTTCTTAAGAAAGTGTACATCTTTAAGTTGAGTTCCTTGACTGACTCCCAACAGCTTCCCCAGCACCACCCAAGAAGGGCGCTGCCCAGGACCGACTCCTGAGCGGGCATTTTGCTTAGCTCAGTGGCCAGAGATGAGGCCCTGTTCGGAGACTCGGGTTCCGGAACATAGGGGGACATGGGAGGTGACGGAGGGACACCTGGGCCAGCCTTGCTCCCCACAGTGATTCCTGTCTCCCACTAGCCATCCAGAGAGTCTCTCTCTCAATTTCTTTTCTCCTTTTTAGACCCAAATTAGATAAGTGTTGAGCTAATCCTGACTCACAGTGATGCCACACGAGAGGAGAACTGTCCCATGAGGTGCCCTAGGCTATCACCCTTATGGTAGCAGATCCTCTTTCTCCTCAGAGCCGCTGGGTGGGTTTGATCCACTGACCTCTCACTGAGCAGCCAAGCACTCAAGCATTGTGCCACCAGGGATTTCCTTTCCTTTGGTTTAAGAACAGTTTTTGGTAAAAAGTGTATGTTGCTGTTGTTGGGTACCACTGAGTCGTTTCTGACTCATAGCGACCCTACACAGGGTTGCCGAGGTGCATCTATTGGGTTTGAATCACTGACCTTAGGTTCCAAAGCTTATCCTATAGTAAGGGCTCCAAATAGTATATGAGAAGACCCCAAAAAGTTTGTGGAAAAATTTCACTTTTTTCATTCCATTTTCCATGGCTTTGTGAAGGCCCGTTGCAGAATGCCTGCCATCTTACCCACCACACCCCCCACCCCACCACACCCCCAGGGCCATGAAGGGAACACCAACACATATCACCGCTATCACCCTCCAGAACGTTCCATCACCCCGAGGCCTGCGTGACCGCTCACCTGGCTGTAGGGGTAGAAAAGAGCGCAGACAGCGCAGTAGGGCTTGGTCAGCGCGGCGACAGCGTTGAACTTCCTCTCCACCTGGAAGCTGGCCGCCCTGTTCCTCCACTGCAGCGAGAGCAGCGACTTCAAGGCCTCGGGGTCGCTCATGTCTTCCTCCCCCGAGAAAGGCAGCACCTCTAGGGTAACAGGAGCCGGGGGAGCCTTCAGCGCGACTCAGTTTCTGCTGACCCCCGATCCCCAGGGTCTTTAGCCCCACTGAATTCCTGCTTTCCACCCTGACCCCCGGTAACCCAGGAGAAGGTACGAGAGGCATCTGTGGGGTCGGGTCTGAGCTCCACTGATCATGTCTTGTCCCCAAAGAGGCACACCCAGCTGAGGCCCTTTTTAGAAAGACTGGCCACACTAGCCCCCCTACTCCAATTATGAAGGGGAGGCCACCACTGTGCCTGTCTCCTCGCGAGGTTCTGTTGACCCTCAACTTCAGATTCAGAGAAAGGAAACCACCTTTTCAAACTCCACATGCCCCTTAAATGGCAGGCAGGTGCAGAACATGGAAATTGGCTCAGCAGGGCTTCGACACGGAAGAGCGGCTCTTGGTCTCAGTGCCCCACCCCTACTGCTGTGTGAACCACTGCCCACTGTGGGCAGCCTGGCCATGGGTCAGCACACAAAGCGTCCCTGACAACAGCTGGTCATGGGGTGATGGCTGGGTGTCGGGGTCTCCCTCAGCCCCACAGAGGGATGAGCCAGAGCAGGGTGGGTCCCAGGGACACCACACCAACCCCCACAAAGGTCCTGAGCCCCCAACCCACACATCAGGTCCACACTAAAACAAGTCCAGGGCCTCTTCTGACCCAGATTGTCTTTCCCAAACCTTGGGCGGGCAGAGAACATGGGCCTAGGTGCATGGCCAGGGGTGTTGAGGAGGGGCCACAGGGTGTGCAGGTGGGGGTCAGCTACAGGGGAACAGAGCTGGGGTGGACAAGCCACTGTGAAGGCTCTCAGGGTATAGGCTGGGCAAGCCCTCCCCCCACCCAGCCTCACCCTCGTCACTGGAGGCCTCCTGCTTGACCACCGACAAGGGGGAACGGGTGGGCGGCTTGCCCAGTGGGTGGCGTCGGCTCTTCTTGATCTCCATCTTTAACTTCGAGAATGTAGACGGTGCCTGGAACATAAAACACATCACCTCTGTGAGGTGCCACCTCGGGCTGGCATAGAGCTCAGAGGGGCCAATAGACCCCAGTCCTGGGCCCCAGTCTCCCAAAGGCCCTCAGTACCCACAGACTGTGCACCCCATACACTTACAGGACAAGGACATCAAGGGCACAGTGAGGGCTGAACAGGAGCCTCCCTACACATCACTAACTCTGATGGGAGTCTCAGGGCACCCACAGGCATATTGCAGGCCTGGGTGGGGGTGCCAGGACACTCACCTGCCTATCGTTGGCCTGAGCAGGGTTCTTGGAGTGCCTACCTGCACATCGCTGGCCCGGGCAGAGGTCTCGGGGCGCCCAGGCCCACCTTGGCCCTCCTGCAGGGTCAGCTCCATGGGGGCAGCCGGCTCCTTCTGGACGAAGTGCTCGAAGGCCTGCTGGGGGGTGCGCTGCTCCCGGTCACCAGCCGCCCGCTCACCACGGGGCACCACATACAACATGGGGATGATGGGTCTCGGCTTAGCTTCATCTTCCAGGCCTCCGGGGACCTCGGGGGGCACCACATTGAGGGCTGTGGGCGGCAGGTTCTCCTCAGACACAGCAGTGGAAGCTGGTGCCAGCATGGGCGGCTCTAGCAGGGGCGGTGGCAGGGGGATCTCCTCGGGGGCGAAAGGGATTGGGGGCACTGGGGGCAGGGGCAGTTGGGGTGGCAAGAGGGGGAGGTGGGAGTGCAGGGGCCCATAGGTCTTCTTCTTCCGGTCACACTTGGTCTTGGCTGGCCGCAGCTTGCCCCTCCCGTCCTCTGTGGGGAGAGGAAGGATGGTCAGAGGTGGGGCGCCGGACCCTTGGACTCCTGGGGGTGGTCACCAGGCAATGTCCTTCCTGAAAGCGTCACCTGGGAGGGAGCGAGCGATTGAAACACAACCTGGGGAGACTCTGTGCTGACGGGCTCCTGTCCCTGGAGGGCTGGGGTGCGTGTGCAAACCGTCCACCAAGAGGTACCACCTGCAGAAGGCCACAGGCCTGAACACCCCTGGGAAACACAGCTCTGTTGTGCTTCAGCAGAGGACTGGCCGTATTTGCTTTCCTCACATGTGGGGCAACTAAACCTACAACTGCAGGTTTTTAAAAAGGAGAAACCCTAACAACGGACCACAAGCAAGTGGTCATTTCAGCAAAGGGAAGACGCCCCAAAGCCTCACGGGCCCCGAGGGCAATGCTAGGGAGGGACCCAAGGCTGGACCACAAGGCCAGGAAGGCTGGGCAGCCAGTCAAATCACCCATGGCCAGATTCCATGCCTGGTCTGAGGACATGGCCGACAAGAGGAGACAGGGTCTTAGCTTCATGAGGAGGTAAGCCCAGTGTGACCACATGGGTCCTTGAAGGTGGAGAAGCTTCTATAGAGGCCCAATAGGGCGGTTCCCCTGGGGCAGGACAGCTGGGACTGGACCCCTCACCTCCGGCTGCCTTGTTCTGACAGGCTGGGTGTGTGACTAGTCAAAGTGGCTCCTGGCAGCTCCTGCCTGCTAGGTCGGAGGGGGGGGGAATGGGGGACGGGCAGGAACAGGGACAGGGTTCCTCCCGAGGAGCCCTGAGCACCACCTAGTCAAGGATCAGAATCTCAGACCCCTGAATCTAAGGACCCACCAGGCTGCACAAGGGTGGGCCCAGACCCCTCGGGGCTTTGCTTGCTGACCCTGGAGAATGGGTATCCTGGTCCAAACCCCAGGTGACCAGAGGTAAAGGTACCACGTCAGGTGTGTTAGTAACAGGATCAGTGTCTACTCCGCCAGCTCCTAGCTCACCAAGCCAGTTGTCCTGCTGACAGCCCTGGGTTAATGTCATCACAGCCCTGCCTCCCCCGATGAGGCCAGAAAAGGAGCCCCCCTCTTTGCAGTAAATCAGTCACAACGTGAAGCCTCATTAGCTCTGGTTTGGAACTTGGCATCTGCCTTTTACTCTTACTATAAAAATCCTGGCCATATGTCACCCCTCATTCTGTAGCCAGAGATGCCGGGACCAGACAGAAGCAGGTGGGTGACCTTGGAGAGACAAGAGTCCCTAAGGGTGAGGTCAGAGTCCTAACTCTGCCACACTGACCTGGGGGGAGGGGTCTTTCCCACTCCCAGCAGGCCCCTCGCACGGTGAGGATTCACACAGGACCTGGTCACCTATCGTCGAGCTGGCAGGGAGCAAAGGCACACTGTGTCTGAAATGTGCTGAGGACATCTTTCCAGAGCCATCCCCCTTGAGGGGCCTTGAATGCCGCCCCCAGTCCTGTGGCTAGGCGCATGCCCTCTCTCTGGCCTCCAACACCACTGTCCACGCCTCCTCGGGAGTGAGGTTGTTCAGCCTCAGGGCATAAAGGGCTCTTTCCCTCAGATGTTGGCAATGGCCAGTAAGGAGGTGACCAGGCATCCTTCGTGAATAAACAGGGCACCAAGGCAGTCTGTAGCAACAAACACCGTGTGCAGCTCACCCAGCCTGGTGTCGGGCAGTGCCCCCACCAGCTATTGATGTGGAGATGGTAAATCTCAATGGTGGAGGCCTAGGGTGCAGCCCCCCCTCAGATCTAGAGCTGGAGGGTCTAGAATGCACGCTGGCAACACCTGGCACCAGTGGGGGTGGTACAGAGGGGAGGAGGGCAGAGAAGGAAGACAGGCGGGAGAGTAATGAGGAAATAAATAAGGGGCCACCTCCGCACACCCCGCCCGGTTCCTCGGAGCTGGTGCCTGGCAGTGGAGAGAAGCTGACCGGAAAGCAGGGGACCCTGTACACAACTGAGGACAGCAGGTCTGTACCCAAGAGGAAGCTCAGGCGCCTACCTCCCGGGGGCACAGCAGCCCCAGCCTTATTTTGTCTCTGGGTTCTGCACAGGACAGCCTGGGCCCTTCCTGAATTTTCCATCTCCTCTTACTGAGCGGTGTGTGTTCAGTCTGCTCAGGCCCCATCCCAACACAGCCCCTCCCTGGAACCCATGGTGAGCCCTCCTGATCCCAGCCTGGCTCTAGCCTCGCTGCCCCCCATCCACCCTGGTTACAAGGAGTGGTGGCCATCCTAACCAACAGCTGACCGCTAAGGGCAGCAGACATTGCCTGGGAGGCTGGGGTCAGAGGAGGGAGCCGCTGCGCTGATTGCAAATAGGACCAGGAGTGGAGACTTAGACCCAGGAGGAGGGCTGACAGGGGCAGCCTTCTTCACCTTCTGCTTGGACCCTACCTGAGGGTGGAGTGCGGAGTCTGGGATGTACAACCACTGGGGTAGGGACAACAGCCAGTGGAGAGCAGCCCCACCAGAGAGCCTCCTCGGCCCTCGAAGCTGAGTTGCAGGGTGCTCCCAACCCTTTGATGCACAGGGAGCTAACAGCCCTGACACCCACTCAGCACTCATGGCTTTTAGGGACATAGTGCTGGTATTAACGGAAGGCTCGGAGCCACTCTGAAATCAGTGACTCATTTCCCGTGATGCTGGCTCTGCCATGTCCCTGACTAGCAAGACTTAGTTATGTGATGCTTCCATGAGATTTCTCTTCTGCCCAAAGGACACTTCCTCTTTCAAAGCGCCAGCGTTCTGGAAAAACACACACACATGCACAAGGCATATATACATGTGCACACGGGCATACACACATGCACACACACAATGCACACATGTGCATACAATGTCTGCAAGACATACACACATACATGCACACAACCCACGGGAATGCACACATACATACACAAAACACACATGCACAGGTACACCGTCACACGAACATGCACAGTTATAATCACACACCCACACACTCATGGCGAGAGAAGTGGAACCCCGGGGTGAGGCAAGGAGAGGACAGCCCACAACCATGGTCCATGGGCCGCCCTGATTCAGAGCCTGTGTAGCAGCAACTCACAACCACAACAGAGTATGGCTGAGGGACATCCTGGGGCCCAAAGAGCAGCTTCACAGGACACAGACCTGGCTAATCTGGTCCCGTGGACATTCGTGGTTGCCATGTGATCTAACAGGACTGAGGAGGAAATCCTAGGGGGCACGTCAGCTCTGTCACACAGCGTCGGCTTGACGGCACCACATCTAACAGCAACACCCAACACCGAAGAGTCCACAGGGAGTCTTGGTGTGGCTGCTCCGAGACAACCCTTTCTACTAGGTTGTCATGCTTTCCTGTGACATGCTGAAGGCTCACCTGCTGGGGGCAGAGCAGCGGTGCTCACTGCTCAACCCTGCGTCACACAGGCCCCTGTCCCTGTCCTCGTGAGTGGACGTCTGGGCTGATTGTTCCCGCTATTGTACTGCCTTCAAAGGCACTAGGAGTGAGAGCGTCTCCAAGGCCCCAGCCCCAGAGGGGACTGGCTGGGGGAAAAGCAGATGGCCAGCCCCACCCCCACGTCTGTCCGAGTGTCGTTCTGTGGCAGAGTATGTGTTGCTGGGATGCTGGGATTGAACACACTGAGCAGGGTCACCTGTGGTGGTTTCAGTGGTGGTTTTAGACTAGGAGGAAAGGCCTGGCAAATTGACTTCCTGAAATCAACCAATGAAAAGCTAAGACTCACAACAGAATGCTGTCTGACAGAGCACAAGGAGATGAGCCCCCTCGTTCAGAAGGCCCTCCAAATGCACAGTGGCCTCAACTCTGGTGACGGGGAAGATGATGTAGGACCTGGGAACATCCCTAAAGGATGCAGTCTGCACTCAATCAGTGGCTGCATGGAAGAAAAACCTGGCCATCTGTCCCCATAAAGGTGACAGCCCAGGAAAGCCTACGAGGAGCTGACATCGACTCCATGGTACCAACAAAATCAACTCAATCAACAGTAGGTCCTCAGTTTACATTCAGCAAACACATCGTGCTTTCTCCACTGGGATCCTCCTTAGTCTAAAGTCATAAAGAAATCTTCCTTCCTCATCGTCTTGGAAGTTCTGTCTTGAAAACACCAACCCTCCAGACACATGGTGGGTAGAGTTATGACCCCCACTGTCCATGTCCTAGTCTCTAAGATCAGCGCATCTGTTGCTTTATGTTGGAAAGGGGACTTTGCAGCTGTGTGGAAGATCTTGGGATGGGGCAAGTAAACTGGGTTATCTGGGGAGGCCCAGTGGAATCACGAGGTTTCTAATAATTAAAAGAGGGGAGGCAAGAGGGGCCGAATCAGAGGAGGTGTGAGGATGGGAGGAGAGACTGGAGGGGTACATGGAAGGTGAGGGAGGGGTCACAAGCGCAGGAATGTGGCAGCCTCCGGCAAGTGCAGAAACCCAAGCTGACGCAGAGCCTCCAGAAGGAGCCAGCCCTGATGACACTTGGTTTTGGATCCATGACACCCATTTCAGACTTCTCAGCTCCAGAACTGTGAGATAATACCCAAAACCAGAAAAAACAGAAACAGCCCAAGCCCACTACTGTCAATTTCCCTTCCAGGGTACAAGGACCCTGGAGGCTTCCTAATCTGTTACCTTTTTTAACAATGGGGATACTTTGAGTTCAAATTTTATTATTCAACAAGTAGTACTGCACTTTTTGTCCCTACTCAGACAAAACAGTAATTGGTCAAGCTGGGATGACATTCAGGCCTGGAACGTCACAGCAGCAGACCGTCACATCTTTCTCCACCGCCCCGTCACTGTGCAGTTGAGCACCTGGCCGCTGGCCCACCAGGCTTCTGCCGTGTGATTTGAAGGCCCCAGTTCTGTGGTTCTTTGTTACAGCAGTACAGGACCTCGTACGAGCCACGGGTGTAGGTCTGGGTGTGGTGTGAGGTCGTGTGGTGCCCATCCGTTGGACACAGTGAGCAGTCTTGGTGGCTGGGAGCACAGTCCCCTACCACTGCGCATTTCAGAGCAGCTCATGGGGTTCCCAACAGTGGTCTCCGAAGCCCGGCTGCGATCCTGAATGGAACTGCACTGAATCTACAGACGGCTGGAGGAAACTTCAGCTCCCACTAGTCCACGCGGCTCCTCCTTCACTTAGTTCTTCCTTTTGTCTGCTGTCAGTCACAGCTTCTAAAGTTTCTCCATAAAAGTCCTACTATCGTGTTTGGTAGATTTACTCCAACATCCATTCTTTTTGGTTGCTATTCTTCTGTAGAGGGAGCATGGTGGCTCCGGAGGATAAATACTGGACTGCAAACCACTAAGGCAGCAGTTTAAAGTCACCAGATTAGGCTTTCTGCTCCTGCAAAGACTTACTGCCTCAGAAACCCTAGACAGGATCACGACGAGTTGGAACTGACCCAACTTAACATTACTGTGTTCTCTTTCTGAAAATCCAGTTTTATGTTCATGGCCAACCCACTTCCCATAAGTCAACTGTGACTCCTGGTGAAGCCATGTGTCAGAGCAGCACTGTGCTCCCAGAGTTGTCACAAACAGCTAACTAGGCTGCTCCTCCACAGGGCCTCTGAGTGGACGTGAACTTCCAAGCTTCTGATCAGCAGCTGAGGGCAGCAGCCATCTGTACCACCCGGGGACTCCTAAGCAAAACATCACTGCCATCTCGCCAATTCCTTCTCAACAGCGACCCTTGAGGAAGCCGAGGCCCTCACTCTTGAGAGAAGCCGACTTCCACAGCCTCCGCCCGCGAAGCAGCAGGTGTGTTTGAACCACCCCCTTCTGGTTAGCAGCTGACTATGTTAGCTGTTTGTTTCACCCAGCAATCTCTGCTGTTATTAAGTATCGTCTAGTTGGTTCCGACTCATAGTGACCCTGTATAGGGTTTCCGAGGGGTGACTGGTGGGGTTACACCACCAACTTTGCAGTTAGCAGTTCAGTGTTTCTCCAACTGTGGCATTTCTGGTCTATGAGAAATGGGACTTGACTTTTGGATAGTAAGCTCACATGCAGCCACTCTGCTAGGTTCTTGAGACAGTCCACCATTTTGTCTATAGATTCACCTGTACCATTCTATACAGACAGTCACATCATCTGTCAGTAGGACAATCCTATTCTTCCTCTCTAACCACATCCTGCCTTTTGAGAGCTGGGCAGACCCTCCTGTCTTGCTTTGAACAGCGACCAAGAAGCTCTTGTCTCACTCCCGATCTGGAAGGAAGCGCCTTCCAGGACTCCCCGAGTGAACCGTGTGCTGTGGTATCACCTGAGGATGTTCCTGACGCAGGTCCACATGGAAACGTCCACCCTCTCACCACTCACATATCACCTCCTCCTGAGGGAATCAGCTGCTAAATAACGGGGACCACTCAGCACAAGCCCACCCTATAGCAGCTCTGGGGGTGTGTGTCAAAGTGGGCCGAGCCTGCATCTGCCTCTCCCGCATGCTGTGGATGCCACAGGGCCAGCAGTGACCCCTCTTCTGTCCAGCCCCAGTGCCCAGCACCCAGCCTGGTCACCTCAGACAAAGTCACTGTGGAAACCACATAATCTTTAGCATCAGCAATAGTACACCCTTCTGAACCTACAAGTCTAAGAAAATAGAGTCTTTTGAGCTCATAAACTCCAAGAGACTGCCACTAAGAAGGAAGTCTGAGGACCCAAGTAGAACCCTGTGCTGTGAGCTGAGGCTGGACGGTGGTCTGGCTCCTGTGTCCCTGTCTATCACTGGGCATTTGGAATGGCCCAGAGAACACAGGTCCCCTCCTTTACACCACAGATCAGCCACTAGTGTGCACAGCCCAGGAGAAGCTGAGACTGTCAACTAGGGAAATGAAACCCAGTCATAAAGAACAAGAAATGCCATACACCGGCAGAGTGGGGGCCCTTGAAAACGTTCTCAGACTGATACCATGCAAAGTGTTTCACGAGGTGCAGAGGGTAAACTGAGGAATTCCATGTCTGCATGGGTCCCGGTAAGCTCCCACCTGTCTGCGGGGCCCTGCAGCTCAGGGGAGCCGCAACCACACACTGCCACGGTCCCCAATCCCCTGCACCATTTCACCCACCTGAGCTGGTCAGCACTCATGGAGTCCCTCCTATGCCCAACAGGGTCAGGGCCTGTCCTCCTCTCAGGGAAAGGGGGACACGCAGTGGGTGAAACACCCACAATGGCAGCCTCATTCCTGCATGTGGGTCCCCAATGGCAGGGCACCACCTAGTGGATGGGCATTTCTGAGGGAAAGGCTCTTATAAAAAATGCTCCCCTTGCCAAGAAAACACTCACGTCAGATTCTTAAACCACCAGGGATTCTATGGGCATGGCAGATGCCAGCTTTGCCACTAGGCATGGGCTCTGGGGCACCAGGCCGGGACCACGTGGCTGACACTGACCTTCCGCACCCTCTTCCTCCTCAGGGTCCACCTCCTGCGTGGCCTCCTCCTTAGCTCCCCGACCGGTGTCCTCTAGGAGGGTCGCCCCAGCTGCAACGCCCTCTCCGAGGGCCTTAGGGTCTTCTGACTTGGGCTTCTTGGGCTGACTCCGCTTCCGGTGGGACCTGGGGAGGTAGACAGGAAGTGAAGAAGCACAGAGGAAGATCCGTGGTCTGTGTGAGGCCAGCAGGTCGGAGCCCTGTGTCCCTGAGGCGGCAGCCACACCGGAGTCCCTGGGGGGCCTGAAGGGGCGTGGAGTGCAGGAAGGGCCCACGGGTATGATGGGCAGGTGGGCTGGGCAGGTGTTGATGACAGCTGGAGATGGGAGGCGACCACACGGATGGGGTGGGGGGACAGGCCCGCCCAGACGCAGCTGCACGCGGGGGTGGGGGTGGGACACACAAGGAGTCTGAGCTCCGGAGGAAGGAGACAGCAGGGTGTGGAATGCCTGGGCGACAAACACAACAGAAAGACACTTACGACAGGCCCGGCTTTTTGGTCTGCTCTTTCTTCCTTTCTAGATTTGATTTCCTCTCCTCCTCAGTCCTTTTCCAGTGTCTGTTTTCTTTCAGACTAATTTGTCTAGAATGTAAATTTCAGGGGTTTTCTCTAGGCTTCTTCCCAACTCCCCATGACAGCTCCCCTGAGGGAGGCCCCGTCCCCCTCCAGTCCTGGCCTGGGGCCCTGGTGCTTCGGGACCACTCCCGCTCCGTCCCTGGCCAGCGCCATCGTTCCCAGGACCCCATCGTTCCCAGGACTGGCCTGCTGGGCCAGAAGCAAAGGCATCCCTGACCGCTGGCCTGCAGACTGGGCCTAGCTACAACTCCCTCATGAGAAAGAGGACGGTGGGGACTAAGAGACAAGAAGAGAAACAAAGGCAGGTGAGCTTTGCAGAGCCTGCGGGGACCCTTCTCCAGGCAGGGGATGGAGAAGCTGAGTGACATCCCCAGGGCCCCAGGCAGACACTGTAAGTGTGGGGACCCACTGCCCTCGTGATCTCAGCCCAGTGCCCCAGGCCTCCCAGGCCCAGGTGCTCGGTCTCATAGAGCCCACCCATTCACCTTCTCCCTTCTCGGGTACAGCAGCATCATCACGTGCTCTCTGCATCCCCTGCCCACACCCACACCCACACCCAACTTGGGGACAGACCCAAAGAGCTCCTGCCGGACCTAGTCACAGACACTGCTGAGGGAAGGCGCTGACTCGCCAGTCCACATCACTGGAATGTCCCACCAGCCACAGGGCCCAGCTCTGGCTCAAAGGCCAGCCTGCCCGGAAACCTCCTGGGTGACAGTGGCGGCTGGGGCTCAGACACTTTGATCCTGTGGGGGTGCCTGCAGCAGCTGCATCTCCAACACTGAGGTGTCAGAGAGGGGGTGCGGCCTGTCCCATAGTGGGGCCCATTTCCTGCCCAGCCAGGCTGGCACGAGTGGCAGCAGTAGCCCTGTCCTGCAGAGAGCCCCTGGGCCTGGCCCTGCTTGCCTCCACAACTGCCTTCTCTTCATTGCTCTAGGGCACCCAGCCCTCACGGCCACCGGCCCCCCAGCTCTCCATGCTGGGTGCTGGACGCCACCTCCTCAGAACATCCCCTCACACTAGTCACTGCCTAGCTCGCTAGTGGCATCCCTGGGTTTGTCATGCGCCCCAGGGCCGCCTGCACGTGACATTGCGGATGAGCCACGAGAGATGACCAGCGAGCAGCAGAAGCGGTGGGAGCATGGTGGGCGGGTGGGCATGCGGAACAAGGGCACACAGGCAAGGTACAGCAGGGTCCTTAGGGGGGCTATGGGGGTGGGTGGGTCACAGGGGCTGGGATGCAGGGCCCCGGGTCAACACCCCTCCCAGGGTGAGTTCTTATCCCAGAGGAACACCAACAGCCCTGGGCAACAAAGGCAGTTCCACCAAGTTGAGTGTGGCAATGTAGAGGTGCATGCCCATGGGAGACAAGTAATGTCCACTGTGCCCTGACCCAGGCCTCCAAGGGTCCCCAGGAGGGCGTCCCAGGTCTCAGAGTGCTGCCTCTGTTGGAGGGCTCCCACTGAGGCACCCCCTCCTCCTGCCCACTCACCTTGCCTGGGTTTCCTGCAGGAGACCTGGACTCCTCAGGCCCCTCCACTTGTCCAAAAGGTTCTGGTTCTACCTGACATTCCTGTCCCCTGAGAGCCATGTCTGACCCTATCTCCACTGCAAATAGGGTGTTCCAGAGCCCCTCAGCTTCCCTCAGCCCCCACACGACACTGGGCTGAGAGCTGGGGTACCCCCCAGGACCTGAGTCCCCAGCGGGAGCCTCATGCAGACAGGGCACAAGGGTAACTATACATGGGGTTGGTCCAGGCAGTTCTGACTCACAGCAACCCCACGTGACAGAGTACAACTGCCCCATAGGGTTTTCTAGGCTGCAATCTTTACAAAAGCAAATCGCCAGGTCTTCCTCCCAGGGAGCCACTGGGCGGATTCAAACTGTCAACATTCTGGTTAACAGCCCAGTACCCACCATTATACCAGAAGGATTCCTGGGACTACAAGTAGGTACACACAACGATGGCCCTATAGCAGAGTGGGAAAACCAAACCGCACATCTGTGCACAAAGAAACATCCATTTCGTACAAACATAAACTGGGGGCAAGAAGGCTGGAAGAGTCACCACCAATTTGTCAACAGACTTCGGGGAGGTAGGGGCACCCTAGTTGCAGTTTGGCTCATCGCAGCTGTCCCCGACTCACTCCCTAGATGCCCACTTCCCAACACGGTTTCTTCTGGAATTTTCTTCCATGTTCCTCTTCATGTTGCCTGGCTTCCTTCTGTGGTCTGGGTTTCCTCCACTTGGCTCAGGACCCCCACTGGCCTCTCTCCTCACATCTGCCAGCACCTTTAGTTGCAGTAATAATCAATCTTTACACCTTTATGATGCCACAAATACTGCTGAGCCGTGAACCACGGAGCTACTCTGCCTGGACTGTGGGCTGGCTCTTTCTGAAGTTAATGGCTGTCTCTCCTTCTTTCACATGCTGAGCTTTCTTGGTGTTTCCAAACTCTCTTAGAGACTCCTCGCGGTGCGCGGTGTGGTGTCCTCCAGTGGTGTCACGTGCTGCTCAGTGAGGTTGCTCCAGCTAGGTTGGATCACACTTCCTTGAGCCCATGTCTTTCCTGGATTACACCCGTGTTTAGTGGAGCACATCCTTGAGAAGCTTCCTGAGAAAGGAGGGTAAATCCGAGACGGCTTGTCCCGTGCCCGTGGAGATGGAGGTCTGGCTGCCAGGTACCTACTTCCAGGTTGGAACGTATTTCTGGTCAGAATTCCAAAGCTGTGCTCGTTTGTCTTTGTCTGGGAAGCACCACAGTTTATAAAAATTCAACGTCGTTGGGGTCCCTCATGCTTTATGGTGACCTGTGGTTTAGCCCCAGAGCTGTGAGATTCACAAAGCTGAGCCATCGTGTGGGTAATTTTTAGGAGGTGACTTTTTAGGAGGAGCTTGCTTGGCTGTGAGTCCAAAGGCTGGTGGTGCAGGAGAAAGGTGTGGCAGTCTGGTTCTGTAAAGAGTGACAGCCTTGTGCTGCTGTCCTTTGGGGTCACTACCAGCCACAATCCACTTGATAGCAGTGAGCTGTAAGGTGACGTTAAATCTGGAAATGTAAGCCTTTTGGTTCGGGTTAACTTTTCTTCTTTCTGTGTTTGGACTCTGGACTGAGCCTCTGCCTTTCTGGTCTTGTCTACCTTCCAACATGATCACCATGCTGCTCTGCATTCTAGACTTGGGTGGGCTGACTCCCACTCTTCGAGGACGTTTTTGTGCTCTCGTTTTCAACCTTCAGGAGCTGCCTCTTGCCTCAGTATCTCTTCTTTGCTGGGACAGCGCTTTCCCCCACTCTGCCGGAGGCGCCTTCTGCTAAATGCATCAGCTCTGCCCTCACACTCCTCTTCTCTTCTCTGCTCTGCTCTCTGGCTCTCACGCTGGAGTGTGTTCTGTAACGTCTAGGGTCCCCAGGTCTGCAGAGAGGAGCCGTGCAGCAGTGGGTACAGAAGACCCAGGGACTCCCAGTATCAGACTCCAGAGTGCTGTGACCCTGGGAAGACCCCCCTCTCTGACCAAGATGAGGGTGTGAGCAGCTCCTCACACGTGGCATTGAGTCCTTGCCTCCTGTGTCCAGCCCACGGCATGGTGTCCCTATGCTAAGAGTGCTAGTGTCTCTGGGCCTGGCCCTTCACGCACGTCATGTGTGAGCACTTTCCTCCTCTGCTTCCCTCCCCTCACAGGCCCCCGGGCCCATCCCCCCCATGAAGCCTGTGCTCAGCTACACTTTCTTCTTGGCCATCTTCAGAGTATTTCAGGAGTGAGCGGCAAGGAACGTGCACTTTTATCTGCCAGGTTTAACTGGGAGTCACATGATGGCATTTCTAGGCTCCAAACATTGGGACTTAGTACAGATTACACTCTGTTGTAGAGGTGGAGGCAGACATCCCTGAGATCTCAGGTGACAGGGAGGGTAACAGGGACACAGCCTCTTCCGGCGTCTCCTGGTCCTGTCCCAGAGGGGCACAGTGCTCCACAGCACCCACAAAAGGAGGCTGGCAGCTCTCCCAGGACAGACTGACTGGGAGTCCTGCCTCCATAGCCGACCTTGGAGCCCCAAGGTTGTCATCCTGAAGAGCCTCTCTTCCCTGTAGACTTGCAACACTCAGGAAGCACAGATGTCCCGGGACATGTGGTGGAAGAATCCCGGAAACAAGCAGTGCAGAGACAGGCTGCATACGGCGGCGGCGAGCGCGGCTGCTGGAGGTCTGAGAGGAGGGGCTGCGTGAAGCCTGCTGGGCTGGGCACCAGCGCCATAGCCACCTCCTTCCACCATGGAGTCCCGGGACCCGGAGGGGAGGAACATGAGGGCTCCCCGGAAGAGGTTAGAGTGCTGGGGTGTAGCCTGCAGAAGCCTCCAGAGAGGGGCAGGACAGGGGTGGCTGAGAGAAAGGAGAAAGAGCAGCATCCCAAATGAGCACCCATGGGCCTGCAGTGTGGACATAGGGGTCAAGAGGGGTGGTTGGACTTAAAGCCTGCCCCAACTCCATTTCCTCATCTAGGGCATGTCTGAAGGCATTGTCACAACTGGGGTGCGGGGTATGGGAGGTTACTGACATTGAGCAGTGGGAGGCCAGGGATGCTGCTCAACACCCCCAGTGTCCAGGGCAGCCCCACCCCAGAGAAAGATCCAGCCCTGAGTCAGCAGTGCCCTCGGGGACACAGCCAGAAGGCTTGGTCCACCCTCCCATCCTTTCCAAGCCAAGGAGCTTCAAAGGGTGCCTCCTCACACAAAACCCGTGCTTGCTGCTCAGGGAAGCCTGGCGGGGGAGGGGAGGACGAATCCCATAATTGGGGGGGGCACCGGCAGAGCTGAGAAGCGGGTACCAGGCGCAGGGGAGGCTTGGGCTGGAAATGCAGCTCACCACCAGCCTCCCTGAGAAAAGGGCCCCAGCCACAACACTAAAACAAGGTGGGGACCAGCCCTCTTTTACATCTTGAAAGAAAATGATATCCCTGGGAACAGGAAACACGAGGTCATTTGTGATTCAGTCCCACTGTCAGAATACATGGCTCCCCAGGACAGCATGGGAGGAAGGAACAATGTGACAGGCTGGGCTGGCCTGTAAGCGGGGAGGGGGCGGCGCAGCACGGACAGGGTTTGGGCCATCAGGAGGCACGAGAGTGGCCTGACTAGGGTGGGCAGGGACACAGGGACACACGGATGTATTTCTGGGAAGGTTACTTCCTCTGCCCAGAGAAGCTTCCTCCTGAGGGGCCACCTGGCCAGGTCCACTTCTCTTGCTAGCAGCTCTGTGGTGCTGTCCTCAGGTACTGCTGAGTCGATTCCAGTTCACAGCGCCCCCCTCCACCCCCAGAGGCGCCACCCAGCCCACAGAGAGCGGCCTCGTCCTTCCAGGAGCAGACTGCCACGTCTTCTCCCTAGAGCTGTGGGGTGGGTTCAAACCGCAGCCCTTTGAGTAAGCAGCTGAGTGCTTCCCTGTTGTACCACCAGAGCTCCTTGGCAGCTCTTTAGACAGCTCTAATCCCATTCCCTTCCTGGAATGAGGCACCTGTTTATTGGCAATCCATTCTGTTGACCAATTAGCCAGAGCCACAATCAATTAACCATTATGCAAATGACGCAGGAGCCCCGAGAACCCGAGTCTGTGGGTAGGCTTGCTCTCCGGCTCCTCACCGGGTCACTGCAGGAGCCGCCACAAAATGGGACTCACCAAAGTTGCTTTTCATGAGGAACACACAGGAGAGCAGGAAATCAAAAGGACAGATAACAAAAGAAACCAGAAAAGGAAGACTCACCTTCACCTGCCTCTCAGGAACAGACTGGCAAGCATGCCTGAGCGGAGGGAGAACAGGGGAGGGGAGAGGCCGACGGTGCCCAGGATGAGGGCTACCCATGGGGGAGAAGGTTCCAGAATGGGCATGCTTTTCACACACCCGTCTCCTGCCTGTCTGTGCAAAGTTCAGCTGAGTGGCTCTGCCATGGAAATCGTGTGACCAGACCACAGCCTACCCCTTGCCCACAGGGTGCTGGGCCCCTTGCCAGCTGGGACAAGAGGACTCAAAAGTAACTGCAGGCTGGACTGGGGACATGTGTCACGGTCGACGCTGGAGACACAGGCGGAAACCCCCAGTGCTCGTTTTTTTATGGAGGTGAGCTAGGCAAGGGTTTTATAATCTTACAAAGTTGAGGGAAAATATAAAAGAAGACTAGTTTGCCTTGTGAAATTTACATGAAATTCACATTTCAGAGTCCATAAATAAAGTGTGGTTGGCAGCAGCCCTGTCTATTGGCAGTTTTCATGTTACAACAACAAGGCTCAATGGTCACAGAGCCACTGGGGACAGCAAGTCTGCTCAGTGCCCCCTCTCCCACCCTCTCCCAGGCCCCCCTCCCTCCGGTCACTCTCAGGGCTCCACAGGATTAAGTGCCCCTGGGCTCTTAACCACATCGGTGAGCAGGCCAGACCCTACAAACACTTCCCAGAGAAGGAGAAAGTGGGAAAAACCGGACTCAAGTACAGAGAAGGGCCGTGTCGTCCGCCCCCCCACCCCCACAAGGTCATGCGCACTGGCTATCGGCGTGTCAACTGGGGTACAGGTCCCTGTGGGTAAAGTGGAGGCCTTGGGTTTGAGGGTGGAATTCCAAGAGTAGGGGGGAAAGGCGGACCAAAGATGTCCCTGCAGTGAGGTCTCGGCAGTCACAGTCATGACCTTGAATCAGGGGCCACTACGCAAAGGGAAGACATGACCCGGCCCCACACAAACCAGGGGCCTTGGCCACCTTGTGGCCTCTTGGACTGGTCCTGAAATGGCAGATGTAGGGCTCTCGCCACCTCCCCGTGTGTGACAGGTCCTCCCCTCAGCAATGTGTATGGCCATGGGGCAGTCTCCTTGGGAACTTGTGTGAGGCAGGAGGGGGGCGGGGCGGCCGCAGCATCAAGGTCATGCAGGTGGTCTGGCCTGGACACTGAGCCGCACCCAGGGCCGGGGTGGGCCAGTTGGGCACGCCACTCACCTGCGCAAGAGCTTGGCCTTAAGGGAGGCGCAGGACGCGCTCCAGGAGCTGAGCGCCGGGCTACTGAGCGCGGTGGGCCGCGTGTGGTCAAGCACCGTTAGGTCCTTGCCCTGCTTCCACTGCTCATAGCGTTCCGGCTGCAGGATGCGCACGAAGACGTCCATCGAGATCTTCACCATGTCCTTCCGGCACGTGCACTGTGGAGGGAGGCAGGCGTGAGGCTAAGGCTGCTCTTCCACAACGTATGGCTGTTTCCGTCCCCAGGACCAGGGAGTCAGCTACACCAGTGACAGCTGCCGTCCACTCCAGCCCCTTGAGGCCCTCTATGAGTCAGAGTAGAACTGTGCGCCACAGAACTTGCAGTGGTTGATTATTCAGAAGCAGACTGCCAGATCTTTCTTACGAGGTGCTTATGGGTGGACTCAAACCTCCAAGTTTTTAGTCAGTAGCCAAGTGCTTAATCATTTGCACCACTCAAGAGCTTTGAGGCTATGAGGTGACACCTCAACTGTGGAACCTTAGCCTGCCCCATAGTTAGGAACCCTAGGTGATGCAAATAGGTAAAGCGCTTGGCCGCAAATGACAAGTTGGAGGGTCAAGCCCACCCAGCAACATCGCAGAAGAAAGGCCTGGCAAAATACTTCCAAAAAAATCAGTCTTTCGTTAAAAATCCTGTGCAGCTCAGTAATTCTACTCTGCATGTGTCCGTAACTACTTTTTCAGTCACCTGGTGAGCGTTGACTGAAATGAGCCCTGTACACCGCGCTGCGGGTTAGAATCAAGATGGGAGGCAGCTCTCAGAAGAAGCCTACAGCCAATGTCTGTACAATAGAAATCTCTCTCCAATTCTGACGCGCACGTGCCCAGCAGATGGAAACATGAGGACTACTTTCTAAAAGCCAACAGAAGAGGTGTCAGGCAGCACAGCTGACAGAAAACCAAACAAGCCCACCAGCACAGGAGCCTTGCTGCGAGGGAGCTGGGGGAGGTTGACAATGATAAGGGCACCCAGACTGGACTTGACCTAGGACTCAGGACACACCCAGAGACACGTGTGTGTGTGTGGGGGGGGGGGGTGTCCTGCATGGGGTAGGACACAGCTCCACCCTCTCCCGCCTCCCCCACACAACCAGGCTGAGGCAGAACCACCACCAACTGCATGCTGCAAACTTCTCTTTCCACAAGCTCTCCGGTGGCTGCTGCCTTTCTCAGCCGGGATGAAGGAAGCGTAAAGGTAATGACTTAACTTTGAGTGTGAATGAGCCTTCCAAACGTCCCTCAATGTGCTCTGGACACACTGATATATTTAGGACCCCAAATTTGGGGATGCTGGGAGTGGGTAGGAAGACCAAGAAGAACATCCGGGTGGGGGTGAGAGGCACCTTCTGCCTGCTGGCAGAGCCCAAGCCCAGGAACAGTAATCACCCAGCCAGGCTGTGCGGGAGGGATTATTTATGGTCAAGCGATTCCCAGCAAACTCAATTCCTTTAATGAAAAATGGCGCTGGAGAGTGGGGCTGGCGATGTAATTTGGCTGCAGAGTGACGGAGGCACAGATGGTGCCCAAGCAATGGATCCTGGCCCGGCCACCCTCAGGGGCTAAAGGGGTCTGTATAGACAGGCTGCAATTGCCTTTCCTCAAGTAATTATGGGGGCACCTGAGCTGGCTTCTCAACAGAGTCTGCCCTGGAGGGGACCTTCCTAACCACGTGTGCTACAGCTCTAGCTTGCAATGGGGGTTTTCACTGGGGGAAGAGAGGACCTGAGGAGGCCCTTAGCTGGTGTTTGACTCCATCCAGCAGTGCTCTGCAGAAGAAAGGCCTGGTGATCGGCTCCCATAAAGCCTACAGCTGAGACAGCCCGAGGAAGCATTTCTCCTCTGTCACACAGGGCCTCCAGGAGTCATACTTGACTTCATAGCAATGGTAGTTTGGTTTTGGGATGTGACAGCCTGGAAGATGCGGGCCACACTCCTGACATCATACTGGGACATGTGCGGACACCACGTGCAGACTCTCCAGTTCCTCAGGTGCCACTTACTGTCCCAGGGAGGCTGCCTCCCAACACCAGTGAGGAATCAGTGTCCACTGAAACGCATCAGGCGCCGCCCCCCACCATCTGGGACTGACTGGAGTTACCCAAGTTAACAGTTCTTGATGGAGTTCAATTTCTGCTCCACGACTTCTAGACAGAGTCAGAACTAGCCCTCCAAGGGGAGCTTGGCTGTTTCATTAGATTCTGATGGGGAAATCAGGCCCAAATCGGGGCGAAGGCTGTCTGAGTGGCCCCCTGCAGGCTGAGCACGCCCCAGGGCCCTGTGTGCTGAGGCTGCCTTGGTGTCAAATGCTTCGACAGCTCCGAGTGGCTGGGTAATGAGGACAGGCTGCTCAGAAGGCGGCTGCTCAAATCACTGCAGCCAGAAGCAAGGGGACAATAATTGCTTCAGTGCCGGGTAGGGCATCTCAGGACAGAAGGAGACAAGGTGAGAGGGTTGGCAAGGGTGAGGGGGCAGAGAGCATGGCCTCACAGGATGTTTTGTGGCTCCCCGGGGCACCCTTCCTGCCTGTGGGTTCAGTCTGTCTATGCTCTCTCAGCACAAGCCCTGTTGTCTTCATTCACCTTCTGCCAGCAGAGGGTTGCCCTGACTCAGGTCGTGGTGGCTGAGTCCCTCTCACACCCTAGGGAGCAGGCTGAACCCCCCAAGTGGACCTGGAGATGCGCCTGACACACGGCCCACCAGAGCCACTGCTGCTGCACACCCAGAACAGAGAAGGACAGGCCAGCTCTGCACCCCCAGGAGGAAAAGGGACACATGCAGAGTACCAATCCCAGGCCTCAGCAAGGCCGGTTCTCCAAGGAGCAAATGCCAATGCTGGAGACAAGCTGAGCGGCTGTGACAAGCCTCAGACACATGCGCCGCACAACACAGCTTCACTGGTTTCACGCAAAAATGTGTCTCGACCTCCCAGCCAACGGTCTAGCTGACGCAGAGAGTAAGAAATCCAGCTCCAATACTGAGAGAAAAATGCATGCGTAAAAGCCTTAACCACATTACTGGCTGATTAGATCAGTGAGGGTTCTCTGTGGGGTGGGGTAGCATGGTATACTGCTGCTAAGATTTGGTTTCAGACAGTTTAAACGGCAGTAACATCCTTGCAAGATATCTGTCATCTGAAGAAACACAAAATGCACAGTTGTGAATCGGTCAGGTCCCAATTATGAGCAGAAATCTTTAAAACAAGACAAGGAAATTCATCAGAACACCAACTGGGGGGTCTTTTGCTCATGAGATTAAGCCGTCTTTGAGCTGTTTATTCTTCAGAGCTCACTATTGAGCAGGTATCCCATGTAAGCCTGGGGTTGGTACATATGGCTCAAGGGCCAAAACAAGCTTGTATTTGTAAATAAAGTTTTATTGGCATACAGCCACTACCACTTGCTTATGTATTGTTTATGATGCTTTCCACTGGGATGGCAGAGCTAAATTACAAACAGTCGCTATGGAGACCTTTCAGGCACAGAGTCCTTTACAAGAGGAGTGCCGCCTCCAGTTTAAGTCAGACCACGATGTGCTGTGTTACCTGCTCTCCAGTAATCTGGGATCCCGGTGGCCTTCTGGACAAGGGAACAAAAGGTGACCGAGTCCTGCATCATCCTCACCATTGTGACCCCCTGTCCATTACATTCTCTACTTCACTAACACCTAACAACCCGGCCCTCCTGATGGTGTGTCCAAGCCCAGAGAGCTGGAATCCACAGGGCTTCCAATGGCTGCTTTTCTGAAGCAGGTCGCCAGGCCTTTCTTCCTAGTCTGGAGGTTCTGCTGAAACCTGTTTACTAAGGGTGAATCTGCTGATAGCTAAACTCCCGGTGGCATACTTTCAGCATCACAGCCACATATAAGTCACAGTGGCAGGACACACTGACAGGGGGAAGAACATTTTTACATGGCAACTAACCAGTGGGCACAAGAACCCACCTGGTTCCTGAACTGCTGACCCCCTCAGCTCTGTCTCTTCTGGGTACGTGCCTGCCACACCTCTGGCCGCTTACTGTGGGCACACAGTCCCTAAGCCTAACAGGACCCAGACATGCCTCACCTTCATCCCATAGCCCTGGGCAGGGCTCAGGGCGGGCCCCACACTGGATGGGGGCTGGGGTACAGCCATGACACATCCTGCTACCCCCAGGAGGCCAGCTGGCTCCAGGCCCCCAGGTCCCTGCTGGATTTCACGCCCTAGTTTCTTCATTTTTTTCTTAATGAACTCCAAAACTCACAAATGGAAGAACACAGAATTGAGGTCCTGAAATGGCATCTGAGGATTCAGGCTTCATTTACGAAGAAGTACTATACCAAAGCCTGTGTCAGAATCTGGAAATCGTGCAGCCTGGGAGGTAGGTTTTCTTGTATCTTTTTGCAGCAGTGGGTGAGTCGTGGGTGGGGGTATTCACTTTCTTACTTAATTCAGTTCCCGTATGCTACATCTAAAGGCAATGCTATTTTGTAAGCACTAATGAATGATTAGTCCTGGAGTCCTGGTGTGGCACTGTGGGTTAATGCACCAGACTGCAAAGTCGTTTGAACTACAAGGTCGGCGGTTCAAGCTCACCAGCTGTTCCTCGGAAACCCTATACAGGGTTGCTATGGGTCAGAACTGACTCAACAGCACTTAACAATAACAGTGAATGATGACGTAGGGTCAGCAGGGATAGAATTCTTTCCTTTCACTCGGGACACCTGGGTTCAATTCCTGGCCACTGTACCTTATAAGTAGCTATCAGCCTTGCCTGTCCATGGAGGCCTGTGTGTTGCTAGGATGCTGAACAGGTTTCAGTGGATGTTTCAGACTAAGATGGATGAGGAAGAAAGGCCTGGAAATTGATTTCTAAAAACCCTATGGATCATGCAGATGGTGGGCATGGCAGCATTTTGTTCCTTTGTGTATGGGGTCACTGTGAGTCAGGGGCTCAGGGTTCCACTTGACAGCAGCTAACAGTAACAAGACAATATAAAATGAGACAGAAATGACAAGAATGATGCTCCCTGAAAGATCCCATTATACAAGAGAGCTTTGGGGAAACAACCCTTGTACACTCTCCACTTCTCCGACCCAGGTAGAAGGTCCACTCCTAAGACCTTCAGTTTCCCAAGGTTTGGGACACTTCAATAAAATACTGATCTTAGCTTAGATTCTGCA